CCCCAAGCCCCCTTGGGTATTGATGGCTCACAAGGCTCCAAAGCTCTTCCTTATAAGGATGGCTTTGTGAGTGACAAGGTTTTATATCAGCTCCATCTTTCCCCGCCTGATTTAGAGACAAGTCTGTATTAAAGAATATTGGAGAGAACGGTAATTATATTGCTTTGCAGTAACTGCTAACAAAGTATTTCCAAGTACCCCTGAGGGTCTACTTTAAAGAAAAGATAAGACTCATTTGCAATTAGCACAAGCTATTTACATACAAACTGTTGCACCAAAATCTAAAAAACACTCTTGCTCTTAAGTAGGTTAAACAAAAGCTTCTAATGTTATTTTCTCAGTTCTCTGGCTGAACAACCCTTTTCAGTCAAGATTTTGATACCAGTAAACTCGGCTCAGTCCAGGCACACCTCTTCTTTGAATTCTGATTTGTGGAGTATGAATGGATGAGGTCAGACAGGACTGTGGGTGCCCCATTCCTGTGGGCTCCTGGTGTGTCCATCCTGAGTAGGCACCCCCATTACTCCCAGCCTCTTTGCAGAGCCTGGCACCAGGCATCAACTGCCCATAGGCACCCCCAAATGCTCTGAGCAAAGGCAAGATTTGGGTTTTCCAGGGAGCAGATGGGGGTATCTCAGGCTCAGCCAAAGCGAGTAAAGAAAGCCAGTAGAAAAGGAGGTTTTGGATAGAGGTTTGGAGAGGAAGGAACATTTTAGCCTTAACCTTAGAAGAGCCAATTTTTGTAGGGGCACCTGAACAGTGGTATGGGAAGGAGGTACTTATGAACTGGAGGGAAGATGGATCTATACTTCCAGATTAGTGGCCTCAGTGTGACTTTTCTTCTACAGTTTCCAACTGAATGCAGAAAAGATTGTTACCAAACACTTTTTCCAAAGTCTTGGTTCTGATTCCTCAGCCACCAGCCCTCCTGCTGGACAGGTGACTGCTAGCGGCCTGGCCATGGCAGGAGGTGGCCAGAGGGATGAAGAGCCATTGATGGGGACTGAGAAACACTACAGAAAATGAGAGGAAGGAGTAAACAAGAGGATCAGGATTTAAAGAAAACAAAACAATGTCGTCATCATCATAATAGCTGAAAGGATGGCCTTGTCAGTAAACTATCTAACAGAGAAAAATAAATTATCATACAGGAAGGAAAAAAAGGAGAAAGCTCACAGCACATAATTGCCACTTTGAAGAGAAAGATCACAGCGCACAACTGCCCCTTTGTTTGATTAACCACTTGTGGCTCAACTTGTTGTTTTTAAGATTAACTTTCTGTTTTATCTGAGAGTTTGTTTTCCCACCACTTGAAAAGAACCCAGGAGATAGAAGGAGCTCAGACCCCCAGTTCCTGCCAGACACCATTCCAAGGAGACTGATAAGTCAGCTTCACAGAGAAGAGAGAAAGAAAAGGAAAAATAGATGCAGCCGTTTCAAAGCTGCATTCTGCTATTAGCTGGCAACAATCACTTTTTTTTCTTCTCCCTTTACCTTCAATAAAAACCTCAAACCCCTTACCCTCTCCACCAACATTTCTCCTTTCTCTCTCTTGTGCCATTTCCTTCCCTTCCTTTGGGAAATAAAACAAACTTTCTTTCTTTAAAACTATTCTAATCTTTGCTTCCCAAACAATAAATGTTGGCATGGATGCGGAGAGAGAGGAACACTCCTACACTGCTGGTGGGACTGCAAACTAGTTCAACCTCTATGGAAAGCAATATGGAGATATCTTAAAGCAATACAAGTAGATCTGCCATTTGATCCAGCAATCCCACTACTGGGCATCTACCCAAAAGATCAAATAACACTCTACAAAAAAGACACCTGCACTTGAATGTTTATAGCAGCACAATTTGCAATTGCAAAGTTGTGGAAACAACCCCAAGTGCTCATCAATACATGAGTGGATTAATAAAATGTGGTATATGTATACCATGGAGTACTATTCAACTTTAAGAAACAATGGTGATATAGCACCTCTTGTATATTCCTGGATAGAGCTGGAACCCATTCTACTAAGTGAAGTATCTCAAGAATGGATAAACAAGCACCACATGTACTCACTAGCAAATTGGTACTAATGAATCAACACCTAAGTGGACATATAGGAATAAGATTTATAGGGTGTCGGGCAGGTGGGAGGGGGGAGGAGAGGATGGGTATATACAAACATAATGAGTGAGATGTGCAACATTTGGGGGATGGTCATGCTTGAGGTTCTCACTCAAAGGAGGAGGGGGGGCATGGGCAATATACGTAACCTTAACATTTGTACCCCATTAATATGCTGAAATAAAAAATAACTATTCTAATCTTTGTGTTGAGAATTCTTTCTCAGCCTGCACCATGAGTTTCCACCCTAACAATAGCTAATAGTTCTATAGTGCTCACCATGTTCCAGATATGTGTTAAATGCTTAACACATGTTAGCTCTTTAATCTCCATAAAGGTCTATGAGGCAGATCCTATTATTATCCCCATATTATAGATTAAAAAAACCTGAAGCACAGAGAGTTTAAGTAACTTTCCCAAAGTCACACAGCAAGTAGGAAGCCAAAGAGCTCTGCTTTTTGTCAAATGAAATGTCGATGGAAGCTCCAAATATAAAATAGACCAAAGAGCAGCTGCTCTCACAGGTGGGGGGATGGGGGGAGATACCAGGGCAGAAGACTGGACAGTGCTGGGCAAGTATGAGTGAAGACACTTACTTGCAGGGTTTAATACTACTAAATAGGGCATGTAACTGAGACCAAATGGAGTGGGGCAGGAAAAATGCCTGGCAAGAGAATGCTCTTGTGTCCCACTTCCCAGGGGTGGGGGTGGGGAGCGGCTTCCAGGGCTGGAGTGCTGCGGTGAAGCCCAAGCTAGAAGCCAGGTGTGAGGTTGCAGGGCAGGTTGGGTGTTGCTGGGGGCTGTGAGAGGAAGCAGGGCTGGGAGGCACCCAGGAGGCCTACGGGTGGGCGAGGTGAGGACACATTCTGTCCCCGACTTGTGCCTAGATGTTTTCTGAGAAACCTCTTTCCTCTTGGACACTGCAATGGGAAGGGAGGGGAGGGCAGATATTAGGAAGACTGAATATTTTTTCTTGTGTTGAGTGGACACAAAATCCAAGGAAAGAGAACTGCTGCCCTGAGTCCCTCTCTCCTCACCCAGAAAGCAGCTGAGGACTTTCCTCCATTGTAAGTGTAAATGTTAGGTAGATAGCGAGGGATTCTGGGGCTCCTAGGGACAAAAGAGGGTGCTGTTGCCTTGGTGCAACTGCCCCACCTGGGAAGAAGGACAAGGGTGGGCCCAGGACCCCATCTTGGTCCTGCCCCGCCCTAATTTTCTCCCGAGTGATGGCCATACCTGGGGGAGGAGGGAACACCCTATGAATCAGCCAATCATAACTCAGCATGCTAGCTGCAAAAGAACGCAGAGGACTCTCTAGCCCATGGGCCGAGCAGTACAGGTACCATAGAGTCTGGAAATTGCACTAGAACAACCCACGTGTGTAGTTAAGGTCATGCATCTCCCAACTGTCCGATCAAAGTGGTTCCATGTGACATCTAAGCCACTAGGGAGGTCCCAATCTGGACACTATAAAACAAGATGCAGACCATAACCAGGCCCCTTTTTGGCCCCTTCCTTTAGTTTTTTTCTTGCTGCGACAATGGGTCTGGTCATTTCTGGCATATGTGCCATGCTCTGCAAACCTGTATCTTGCTCTTGCCCTGTAATCCTATTTTTCTCTCCTCAATAAACCTCATTTTCCTGCTTGCCTTACTTTGTTATCTCTGGTCACTCTTCGGCCATGAGCGTGTCAAGAACTGACTTTTCAGACTGAACCCTGAAATAACCAGATTCAATGGACTAACATAACACAGGGAGGCAGGGCCTATAAACAGAGACCTGTGGAATTTTAGAGCAGGAAGGAGCCTGGGCTACCATTCCCACTGGCAAAACCAAGGAAGGGAAGTTGCTGCGTGCACACGGCTGGCTGGTGGTAGGGCAAGGACTGGGAAGCCCTGGTTCTTGAATCAAAAGATGAGTAAGGCCGGGCACAGTGGCTCACGCCTGTAATCCTAGCACTCTGGGAGGCTGAGGAGGGTGGATTGCTCGAGGTCAAGAGTTCGAGACCAGCCTGAGCAAGAGCGAGACCCCGTCTCTACCATAAATAGAAAGAAACTAATTGGCCAACTAATATATACAGAAAAAATGAGCCGGGCATGGTGGTGCATGCCTGTAGTCCCAGCTACTCGGGAGGCTGAGGCTGGAGGATTGCTTGAGTCCAGGAGTTTGAGGTTGCTGTGAGCTAGGCTGATGCCGAGGCACTCACTCTAGCCTGGGCAACAAAGCAAGACTCTGTCTCAAAAAAAAAAAAAAAAAAGATGTGTAGATAGAAATGTAATGTACGGAAAGCTACAGACAGTATTTCGGTTCCTCTCACTTGAACAAAACAGGAATTTAAACATTCATTACTTTCATGTAAACAATGGGCTTTAGTTAATAATAATGTATCAATATTGGCTCATCAATTGTATTAAAATAACAAATATAGCACATCAATGCAAGATGTTAACTAAAGGGGAAACTGGGGGTGGTGATGAGAGGGTAGATGGAAATCTCTGTACTTTACGCTCATTGTTCTGTTGACCTAAAACTGCTCTAAAAAAAATAAAATCTATTACTTTTTTTTAAAGTTCATTAATATGGGTTCTGTTTGCAGTTTTTCATGATCCCACACTTTTCTGAGGACGGATGCTAGACAAGGCAAAGAACATGTGAGCTCGGGCTCTTCCAAGGGAGCAGAAATCCCACTGTGTTGACTGCTGAAAGTCAAGTTGGATGAGGAGGAGGAGGAGAGTGGGGAAAGGGTCAGGGAGAAAGAAGTAGGAGAAGAAGAGAAGCGAAAAAGGGACGGAGGATGAGACAGGTTGTGGGGAACTACATAACTGACATTACCTCGCATCTTGGATAAATATATGCATAGAAATAAACACCCTGCACAAGTAAGGTGTAGTTAGCAATGCAGTTCATTTTTATTAGTTATAAATAAAGTACAAAAAATCCACCAAAAGTGAATCTAAGCATTTACACAATTCCTAATGTCTCCGCCTTTCATTGATGCACTATTGCTTTAATATTCATAATAAATATTCTTCTAGCTTTCTGCTATAAAATAGTCTATGTAGCAAAATGTTGCACAGCACAACAGAACAGAACAGCAGGAGGATTACAAAAAAGGACAATCAACACTGAGGATAATCCTTTCACTTACCAGGGGCAACCAAATTACCCCCTTGAGGGCCCGGTGCGGCTGGCTCCAGAGCTGGGAAATGAGCCGCATCCGAGGCCAGGGGTGGGGGTGGGAGGTGGGGATGGGAGAAGGGGCGGTTGGGGTGGGTGTTAAGGGGGTTCAAGGGGGGACCACAGGCCAGCCAGGGGAAAGGGCCCCTTCCCACTCTGACCCTGCAGAGCAGCATAAGGCATGCCCGTCCAGGAGCCCTGCCGAGGGGGAAGTGTCTGCCAGGCCTGGCAGTGTGGTGGCCGTGCTCCCACCAGGGTGGCCGGGGACTCCACAGGAAAGCAAGGCTCCAGGGTGGAGGCAGAAGGGGCAGCCGGGCAGACAGCAGGCAGGAAGCCCAGAGACGGGCATGCTCGCCTGGCCGGAGCAGAGTTGGGGCTTAGGGCCCACACTTGGCCCGGTGGCTCACATGAGCCTAGCGGGACTGGGTGGCGAATCTCCGTCTCCACTCCCTCCCCCCCATATCAGCACCATCCCCATGGGGCCTCACCCCACCAGGCAAAGGCAGTGATGCTAAGGGACAAGAGGGAGGACAAGCTGGGAAGGAAAGGGAGGAGGAGGGGTGGGAGGAAGGCTGACATGCCAGGGGCCCAGCCTGCTCACAGGGTCTTCCTGGGGGTGAGAACCTTCTGTCTCCTTTTGGCTCAAAGGCACAAAGCTCATCACCATGCCAGCCTTTGAGGCCACTGCCCCAAGTCCTCCCCCATCTACAGGAGCAGCAAGACTGGAGGCCCACCCCTGCCCTCCATGGCAGCCCCTCCTGCCCACAGCCCCCATGGAGCAAAGGCAGAAGGTAAAGGAGGAGATGCTGGAGAGGAGACTGTAATTCCAAAATCTATGTCCCCATCTGTTGTCAATGGGTGGCATCTCAACAACAAGCACTCTGGAGAGCACAGGATGGGGGTGCTCATCCCAAACACCATAGCTTGGGGCTTCTCTTCTGCATACCCCATCCCCATAGCTAACAAGCCATGGATTTCAGCTCACTCTCCAAATAACTGTCCACACCTTATGAATGGGCACATCCCATATCCAGGGATATGTCACCTGACTTATCTCCCTGTCACCCACAGGATACTACAAATAAAAGGACAAAAACTCTCCTGGATGTCTCCTCAGAGCAATCCACTAGATAAATTCTCAGTCCACTGTCTCCATTCTTCTCTTTCTCTTTCCTCTCCTTTCCTCCCCCTTCCATCCTTTCTCCTTCCCTTTCTTCTCTCCCGAGGGGGTGAGATAGCTCAGCACAGCGATTCCCCACCGGGTCTGTGCCATATTCTATTGGAACCAGAGGGACCCTGAAGATCCATCAGTTCTCTTCCCTCAGCCCAGCCCAGAACACTGAGACCCAGAGAGGCCACGGGACTTGCTCAAGGTCACGGGGAAGTCTGTCATAGAGCTGGTCTGAAAACCCAAGCCTCCTGGCCCCCTGGTGCAGGCTCGTGCTAATAGGCCGGGCTTTTTGGCTTTCAGATGCTCCTGCTGGTAATGTCCGAAGGGCTCCAGTTCTGGAACGACCGAGTGGTGGAGCCCAGATGGAGACAGTGACCCCAGTGCCTGGTGACCTTCCTCAGAGGACAGTGGCCGGGGGGAGGGGGAGGGCTGAGGTTGTGGGAGGGGCGAAGGAAGAAGGAAAAGCAGGTTAATGATGATGGAAGAGGATGGGGGGGTGCCAAGGGCAGTAAGTGAAAGGATTACCCCAGTCTGCTGACGAGTGCAAATTATATTCATATATGTGCTAAATACAGTCACTATATTGGAGTTTTTCACTAGATCACAGCATACAGAATCAAAGGTTTGCATTTCGTATGGAATGTATCCAAAGAGGCCAGCACCACAGTAGGACACCTTGCAATCACACACCCTGATAGTTTGGACGAAATAAAGTTTGCGGAATTTTATTTAAATTTTTTTTGTATTCATAGTTGTTTGTCATCGTACCAATGCATGCAAAGCATTCCACTCCCAGAAACAACGCCAAAATGAGGTAATAGGAGTAATAAAAAAAATTAGTATCCTTTCTAAATAAATAAATTATAATTAAAAATGCAAAACAACTATAAAAATAATTAAATAAGAACCCACAATATCTACAAGTTAGTCATAAATTATGATTGTTAAATATAAGGCATTTAAACTCACAAAACCCTGTAAACTAGCAACGTGCCATGTTTTTTGTTTTTTGTGTTTTTTTTTTTTCATTTTTGTTTTTCTATCAGCTGAAATCGCTCTAGCATTTGCTCTACGCGCGCAGGAGATGAAACACGAGGGGACCCGACAGACGTTGCTACAGCCCCACGCGGGGAGTGTTTGTCCCGCCGGCAGGCGGGGGGCTTAGGGGATTTTTTTTTTTTTCAGGAAAAAAAAAAAGTCTGGTGCTTTTTCTTCACCATTGAAAAAACTGTGCTTGTTCATTAGGCGTAAAGAGTTAAGAATACTTGCACGGAGGCTGGGAACATTTGCAGAAGAGGAGCTTGAGTCCTGCCACAGGTGGTGGCCAACGGCGACAGGGGGCCGGAGGGGGTCCTGGCCAGGTGGGGGAGCCGTGGCCCCCTGACCGCCCTAGGGCTGCGCCCAGCCGGGCTTGTGGCATTGGGTTGATTGATTGGCGTCCCTGGTGGACCCGCAAGGCAGGACTGCCGCTGCGGCGAGGACGCCCAGCGTGAACCCTGGGGTCGCTTTTGCCCCAGAAGGCACTCATGCGTCTCAGTCAGGAAAGGGTCTAAGTCCCTTGAGTTGAGCAGGAGGAGGGCGTCAGGTGGTGTCCCCTCCTGGAAGTGGTGGATGTGAGATGCTGAGGCCCGATCCTGCCATCCTGCCTCTTCTCTGCTCTTCCCCAGTGTCCTCACCGGGAGGGACCTCAAGGGAGCAAAAGTGCAGATCCGATCCTCTCCTCCCACCCAAACGGCTGCCCGGCTGAGGAAGTGGGAGCAAGGAGGGCTCTGAGTGCCGGCCGCCTCCTGTCCCCACCTGCAGGGGACAAGGAGATGGGAAGGGGAGGCGCGCTGCAGGATCTGCCCCCACATTAAGCAGCGTGCCTCTCCTCTCTGGGTGATCCCCACCCTGTCCCCAGTGTCAGCCTGGGGCAGAGAATCGGGAGGGAGGAGGGGACCAGGCCCCACCCCCTCACTCAGCACATGTGCCCTCAGCCTCCGAAACAGATGTGCGCGCCCACAGAAAGTCCTTTTCCACAGCTTGGCGGGCGCAGGGCTCTAAAGACTTGAAAGAAGATGTGTTGATGTTAGGGAGGATGGCAAAGTGTGAGTGTTAGAGATTCAGCAAGCATCCAGTCCAACCTCCTGGTGTTACCACTGGGGAAACTGAGGCCCAGAGAGACAAAGGGGGATTCCTGGCATTGCCCACTTAGTCAGGGAAGAGCCAAGGCTGGAACCCGGGACACCAGTTCTAGTTCCATTCTGGCCTCCCTGCTGTCTCCCTTACGACTGCCACCTTTCAGGCCAGCCACAGAAGAAAGAGCCAAAGACTGAGACTAGGAGAGGAAGGACCTTCCTGGACCACCCTGGCTACCTCCAAGCCAAAGCCATCTTCTGATGGATTCCTGGTTTGGGCCCAGCCATGAGAGAGAATGGGGCAGAATTTCCAACTTCTTGTGCCTATTAGGAACTTGCTTTCTCCCAAATCCTGACTCAGGTGCACTTTCTCCTCTGGTGGGATTGTTTGCAAACTGCAACCACTGAACTGGACCACGTGGTGCTCATTGCTGCTAACCCTGAATTTTAGACTGTTGGCCATTTTGCACTATTGGATGTGTCTTGTCTCTTCGACTAGACTAAGTTCCTCAAGGCAGGGACGTTGCCTTCCTTGCTATTGTCTTCCCCAGCACTTGCACCAGTAGGCACTCAATAAAGATTTTATAGAACACCAGGATATTAGTGCTGGGAGAGGATTTAGTCTAACTTTCTTGAGTAACCTCCCACTGGGAGCCACTTCCCCCCAACCCTCTGCCTGAGGGACAGACCAGCCATTGCCCCATGAGCCGGTTGTGTCAGAAGGCTCTACCTCAAGCCCAAATCTGACTCCCTGTCATTTTTACCCATTGATCCTGGTTCTACCCTTGGTAGCAGCAATACAGACTCGAATTTCCTTCATCGTATGGAATTCTTAAAATATGCAACAAGTATCCTGTCGCCCTTGGTCTCATGGATATAAGGGCATTGATATAGGGTTAGGGGTTGAGGGAGGGGGAGGCTTTGAGAGCAGTGCAAATGGGGGAAGAGGAGGGGCTTGAGGGGCAAAGGAAGACTGCAGAATTCCAGCCGACCTGGTGCTTTCCCCATATGGGTCAAGAAAGTTGAGTTTGGGTTGGGATTTGGTGGATTTTCCTGTCTCCATTCTTCTGAGCTGCCATCTCTCTGCTCCCTCTGGGGTTCAGAAAAATTGTGGGGTGGTGCAGAAAGACACACTGCACGGTGTCACTTGGAACTCCCAGGTCTGTGTCTCCCAGCACCTTCATCCCTAAACCCCAAGAGGTTCCCAGGAGAGAGCATAGAACATGTTGGACAGAGAGTGTTAATCCTCACAACATCTAGGTGAGGTAGAGGGGCTGGAAATGGGGGTGCACTGTTGTTTCTCCCCACTCATAGGAGAAGGAAACTGAGGCACAGAGAAAGGAAGGGACTTGCCCAAGGTTATCAAAGAGTCAGAGAAGGAGCCAGAGGCTAAGGACATAGGGCCTCCCAAACCCAGTCAATGTGGCTTCAGAGCTGGGGCCATCTCTGAGGGACTGGATCAGGCTGGAGACATCCCCCGGGAAGCACAAGGACTTCCTCAAGGCCCACCTGCTTGACCTTGGCCCTGAGTGCTGGCAAGAGCACTCTGGACAAGACCAAGTGTGCATCACCCACGCTATCTTGCCTGTATCATCTGGTTGATTTTTTGCATAGGGAGGCAGTGGCGACATTGCCTCTTTGTGGCAGGCAAGGGCACAGCCTAAAGGAAGGAGTGGCGGTAAGCATGGGTCTCCAGGGTCCCAGGAACACAGGGGCAGCTGGAGCAGAAGGCTGGGCCCTCCCTGGTCCAGTGTGGAACCAGGGTGTGGGGACAGCTGGGACCAAGCCCTGGGACCGGGAAGTCCTCCCCAGACAAACTCCCCTTCACTGCTGGAACTCTGCCTTCCTCGCCCCGGCCGAACCCCAGAGGCCCGGGAGAGACCCCATCAGCTCCTGTTCCTCCCTTTCTCAGATGCCCCTTCCACACTCCGTGCACTGTAAACATGAGAAAAATAAAAGCCAAGGGAAACACGGAAACAAAAACAGAACGAGAAATCCCCTTCCCGCCTCCCAAACTGGGTGAAAAAATATCATCCTTTTTCACCGTAAACAGGATTTGGCTTTTTTTTTTTTCCACCTTTGATTCCTTTTTCCTTTTCTCTCGTAAAGACGGGAAGACTGGGGCTGTCGTGGGTTGGTTCAGTCAGGCACCAAAATAAGAAACTCAGTGAGAAATATTTGGTGCGGATTCGGGAATAGGACATGTCCACCACAAGATGACTAGAGCACCACACACAACATTTTTCTTAAGCTAACATGCTCCGGCTGCCGTCCACAGAAATAGCTAGCGACCCCTACATGGTTCCTACGTGGTCGAGAGGTATATATACAATCCTTCGAAGGACAGGATTGAGGGGCCGGTCTACCAGCTAGTGCCTTCGGGATCCCACCTAGGTTCTCAGCATCCTGGGCCCCCCCTTCCCGCCCCTGCTCTGGGCACGGCCAGCTCCCTCCCTCCTGCACAGCCAGGCGGACGGGGACAGTCACCATTCTGGACGGGCGGGCCCTCCCCACCCTCTCCTTTCCCTCAAACACTGATACCACCGGCTCCTCCTTCCACAAATGTGCTTGCAGGCTTTCCTCTACGTCAAATGGCTCAGAAGGCAAAGTTTGGCTGCAAGGGCTATGGCCGTGGGGGGACCTGGTGAAGGAAATGGGGCGTCCACTGGCTAATCCCTCCCTCAGCTGTCGGCTCCCAGTTGTGTCTCAATGTCCACTCGGCAGATGGGGCATTTCTTGCTCATGGCGAGCCACTGGTCCACGCACAGTTGGTGGAAGAGATGCATACAGGGTAGGCGTCTGGAACAGAAGGGTGAGAGTCAGGGACCAGCAGGGGAGACAGGCCGAGGACTGTGCCAGGAGCTGAGGGGGGCCGAGGGGAACAGGAGACACACCCCCCGGACTGCTGGGGGGGCTGCCTGGCCATGGAAGGAGGCTGTGGCTGAGACGGGAAGCCGTGACAGGAAGAGAGCCGCGAGGCCCTCCTCCTCCACGAAGCCCCTGCAGATCAGCCTGAAACAAAGCCATCACTCTGCCTTAGACCCATCCAGGCCAAACACCGCACTGTTCTCTTGCACTTTGCATCCAAGCATCTATAACCGGGGCATCACACATCTAGAACATTCCACACCCCACCTTCCCAGTGCACCACAGAAGCATACCTGGCACACTCACATGCACAAGCACCCCCAGCCCCCAACACATAGCATAGGGAAAGAAGGGACAGGGACTCAAAGAGGTGGTCTCCTACCTCACATCTTCTCCATCTTCGAGCATAGACAGACAAATTGTGCATTTCTCGTCTGTGTCTGACTCCTCCCCCTCTTCCTTCTTGCCCTTGCTGTCCTGGGGTCTTCGCTGGGAGAGGCAGAGAGAGGAGCGCCCATTACCTGGGGCCAACTCACCTGGTGGCCCTTGGCTTTCATCCCCAGCCTCCTCCCACCATGCAGCTTTCTCTTCCCCAAGGATCAGTCCCTTTTTACTTTCTTAAGTAATACCCAGACCTCCTTCCCACCCCCTCCCCTTGCTGCAGGAGACAGAGGGTTAAGAAAGAGGCTTAAATAAAGAGGCTTAAAATAAGAAGTGGACTTTATTTTTACTGTCCCAGGTGCTTTCTAGGGACACAGAATTTGGAAAGGAACTGGGTTTCTAATGAGTCAATCCTTTACAAAGCTCTGACATGCGCACAGCTTCCCTTTTCTGATCTACTCCTTATACCCTTTACAACCCAGATCCCTGCCTTCAGGCCTCTCCCTCCATGGTCAGGTCCAGGAGGCTTCATTCATTCATTCATTCATTCGCTCCACTAACATCCATTCATTGATTCACTCATTACCAGATGAAGGCAAAATTCCTCAACCTGGCATTAACTCCTGTAAATTTTACCACATTGTTATGAACTATTTTATATTGTTGGATTTTTCTTCCTGTCCAGAAAGTTCACTTGAGAAAGGCACTATCTTCAAGCAATCATGTGAGCACTCTGCTTATACTTGTTGATTTTCATTGTCCTGTTGTTAATTCTATGCTAATTTATTTGAACTAGTTCACCACTATGTAGAACAGGGGTCCTCAAATTTTTTCAACAGGGGCCAGTTCACTGTCCCTCAGACCGTTGGAGGGCCGTTGGAGAGTGCTGCGCGCATTCCACACATGTGCACTGTGGGCCCGGGACGAGGTGGCTGCTAAGCAGGACAGGCAGCGGCGGCAAAAACACCCGGCAGGCCGGATAAATGTCCTTGGCAGGCTGTAGTTTGAGGACCCCTGATGTAGAAAGTTTCAAGTTCTTAGGTGGCGTGCACCATGGCTTAGCCTTCTTTAAGTACTGCCCCACAATTGGCCAAGTACAAGGCATATCAATACTAAACATATATTCTGGGGAAGAAGGAATCTAATTAGTGAACAACATCGTCCCACTTTCATGCTTCCATCTCCATGCTGGGTGGTGAAACGGTCTGGCAATAACCACAGGAAGAAAATTACTCTCCAGGGGAAACCAGACTTCAAGATCATTTCGCAAAGAGAAAAATCCGAAGAGTCACAAGATGAAGACCACCCAGAGAATGACGTTGGGGTCAGGCATGGACGCCAGGTCTCCCTACTCTCGTCCCTGGTCCTACACTCTGAAGCTCCTTAGTTTGATTTAGTGCTGGGGATGTTGTAACCTCACTGGAACATACAAGAAAATCGATTCCTTCTGCTCTGAGCCTTGCTGCACTTTGTACATCCCACTGCAAACCATGCTAGGCTTCTGCAATAAGTTTCCCCCTATCTAGAATCCAGAAAATCAGAATTGTCACGGATTTGGGGTATGAATAGAGTCATGATGATCTGTCTGTGGAAGAGTCCAGCTGTGCTTGCCGGAGGAGTGGCCTCCTGGGTCGCCCTGCTAGAAAACACCTGGTGTCCAATACAAGACACCATTAAGACTCAAGTACTTGCCTATTTGCTATTGTTCTTCCCCATCATTATTCTTGATTTTCTTCTTATAGTTAATAATTTCAGCTTAATATTACCTTGTTTTACTATGTCTAATACATATTTCTTTAAACTATTCTCCCTTTTCAATTCTTATCCTTTTCCTGTTTGGTATTTTTAATCTTTTAGACCTCCTGGGTTTTGTTTTCTTTTCACTATCAACATAACTTTTATTTCAACTCTTTTTGCAGCATTTATGTCAATATTTATTTTATCCCTTTTGCTCTTACCTTCTATTTCATTAACATTCCCTTTTAGCTTTGATATTATTAATTTTAATTTTATATGTTACTTTCATACTTTTCCTAGTTCTTATTCTTTTCACATTTTTCAATTTTGACTCTATATTTTTTATTCTTATTAAATCATTATTTTAAATTATGCTTTTTTGTTTTATATTATTTTACTCTCAGTTTAAATTTTTTAAGGTTTTTTTTCCACATTGTATTTGAATCTTAACTTTTCTCATTTCTCATTTTTAATTATTCTTATTCTTTTTAATAATATTTTTATTGCCTTAATTCTCCCTTTTCTCTCCTAACTTTTTACCTGAGGCCTTTACCTCATTGGTTCAGTCCATTTTCCCTTTTCATTCTTAGTGTTGGTTCTTTTCACAATTTCCTTGTGCTCTGTTGAAATGGTGGCAGGTGAGTTGTGTGTCTTCGAAAGGAGCAAACACCCCCTGGCCTGGGACACAGATGCTGCTCCTGGGCTCCTGAACACGCCACTCATTCTCTTCCATGCTCTTCTCCAATAGCCTAAAGCTCTCTCTCCAGAGAATGATCATCTTCCCCATGCCGATGGCACCCTTAATTACTGAACTACTCCCATTTCCTCTCTAAGTAAGGTATCCAGTGTCTGACACATAATAGGTACTCAACAATTGTGGTTGAAATCATTTATGAATAATATCCCATGCATTGTGAGGAGCTGCAAATACCAAGATGAATGGCCTTTAACACTGACACCACCAGCACATGGGCAAACTGGGGAAGTGTGTGCCTGACATCAAGGGAACAGCAGCTCACCACACCCGAGCACTCAGTAGGTACCAGGCACTGTGCTAAACTGTTCAAACACATCACCCCCTTGAATCTCCATAGGACCCCATATGGTAGCTCTCATTTGATAATATGATCACTCTCATTTCACATTAAAAACATCAGGGGGAGGGGAAAGCCTGGAAAAGCCCAGCAAGTTGTTCAAAGTTACACAGCTATAAGGGGTACAGCTGAAATTCAGAAGTGGCTCTAACTCTAACACAAGTGCTCTCAACCACGTTCCCTCAGGTGAAGGTGGCCCCTGGCTTGACCATGGTAGGTAGGGTCCTGCTCTAAGCTTCTTAACATTTGTCAAGCTTTTAATTTATCCCAGAAGGAGGTGGCAAGTTTTTAAAATTAATTTTTTATTTGTTTTTATAATAGATTTTATTTTGTAGAGCAGTTCTAGTTTACATAAAAATTAAGCAAAAAGTCCAATGTGTTCCCATATATCCTATTTCCCCCAACACACACAGTCTCCCTTATTATCAACATTTTGCATTAGTGTGGTACACTTGTTACAATCAATAAGTCAATATTAACAGACCATTATTGACTGAGGTCCATTAGTTTACATTAGGGTTCACTCTTTATGTTGTACCATTCTATCAGTTTTGACAAATGCATAATGTCATGTGTCCACCGTTAGAGTATCATACTAAATACTTTCACTGCCCTAAAAATCCCCTGTGCTCCACCTATTTATTCCTCCCTCCCTACCTGCTGGCAATCACTGACCTTTTTACTGTCTCTAAGGTTTTGTCTTTTCCAGAATGTCATCTAGTTGGAAGCATACAGCATGCAGCCTTTTGGGGCTGACATCTTTCACTTAGTAATGTGCATTTAAAGTTCCCCTGAATCTTTCCATGGCTTAGTAGCTTATTTCTTTTTATAGCAGAATAATATTCCATTGTATACATGTACCACAGTTTGTTTATCCACTCACCTATTGAAGCACATCTTGGTTGCTTCCAAAATTTTTTATTTATTTTAATTTAAAAATGTGTTTAAAACTCAGCTTCCTGGGCTCTAATCTTACCCCAGTTTCCTGAACCCTAACCCTGGAGATTGTACCTCTACAGGCTTAGGGTAGAGCCTATGACTCTGTGGCTTTAAAAGCTCCCCAGGTGACTTTGCTGCTCAGTCAGATTTGAAAACCCCTGCTCAGAAGCCTTAGTTACCCATTTGTCCACGTGTGGATTGGACAGAGAATTATTTTCTAAAGCAAATGTTAGCCTTCTGTGCAAGTGCCCCTTTTGCCCACCTCAATTGGATAGAAACATTTATATGCCTGACATCTACATGTGTATACATACATAATATGCCCATTGATAAGTCCACATGCACACACACATTCCCAGTCCTCCTCCCTTACTGATGAGAGGCTCCCCCTGGCCACACTTGGCACAGCCAAGTGAGAAGACCCTGGGAAGGTATCATAGCTTCAGAGCATCTAACCAGAGCAAAGACTTCTGGATTTTAGACTGTGCCCCTCTGTAGACAGCCAGGCTGGGGTCAATTAGACAACCTCTCCCCCATTCCCTGACTTTGCAGGCTGGCCTATTGGAAGACCCACCTTCTTGTACTTGTGGGGAAAGGTGAACCTCTCAATGGTGTTCTGTACAGCTCCTCTAGTCACGTTTCCCAACCTGTCCTCCAGCTGCAGAAGCTCCTACAAAGAGAAAAATGTGGACATGTGTACTCAGCATGTGCAAACACACACGTACACACATGATAAGGATGAGGGGCACACGAACCTGTCAGGACTAGCTTGTCGCATGCTTAAAGACTATAATATGTCTACTTGCTCTCCCTTTTGCTCTCTCTTACTCTCAACCCTGAGGCTTCCTGCCACCCTTGCCCTACCCACCAGCAAGAGGAAGGAGAAGGGATGCCACCAACAATAATGGTGTCTCCACCAACCCAGTTGGTGCCAGACAGAGCATCATACCTCGTAGCTCTCTCGCACAGCGGAGGTGTGTCTGCTGGGATTTAGTCCCTGGAGAGCAAGGAAGTGAAGCTGAGGGTAAGGGTAGTTTCGGATTTCATGGACGACCTGTTGGAGAAAAAATGCTTTGGATAGAGCAAGGACTCAAGGTTTCTCCATCAGCCCAGTGTGCAACTCCTCCTCCCACAACCACCAGGCAGCACGTCCCTCAGATGCTGTGGGCAGAGTGCTACCTTTTCTGCTCTTATGTCTCTCCTCATCAAGAACCTTGTGCCTGGACCAGCCACAGAAAGAATAACAAAGTCAACAAAGTGACCACAACCTTCATAGCAGGCACTGTTTTAAGTACTTCACATGATTGACTAATTTAATTATCTCAGGTGATCTAAAATATAGGCAGTATTACCATCCCCATTTTACTGATTAGGTAAGTGAGGCACAATAGATTCAGTAATTGGCTCAAGTTATGCAACCAAGTGACAGAACCAAGATTTCAAACCCGGGCAGTTGGATGGCAGAGTTCACTCCTTTCACCCCTACCCTGCACTGCCTTAGAGCACAGCATGATAGTTGAGGGACTGGGCCACAGCCAGGACCAGGGGTGGGGCACAGAATTTAAGACTCAGTAATCAAGATGAATAGTATTTTGATGTAATATGTTTAAAAATCAAAATGAATGCATAAAACAAGTCCATGCAAAAGATCAGTATTTTAAATAAAGAAAGACTGAGCCTGTAGCTGCCTCACTCTGCACCCTGCCTTGCTCCTCCCTAACGCTGGCCAGGTGGGGCCAGGTTTCTATCACAGCTCCTCCACTTACTGTGCGTGCCAGGGCCACTTACCTAACCTCTCTATGCCTCAATTTGCCAATCTTTAATATCCTTTTGTGGAGGGTTACTGAGAGAATTAATTGGGATAATTTATGTAAAGAGCTTAGAACAGTGACTGCTATGTAGCAAGTGCTCAATAAATGTTTGCTTCTTTTATTCTTAAGAGATGGTACTTCATATGCAAACCAATGATTCTCAGAGCTGACAAGGACTGCAGAGATTACTCATCCAAACCACTCATTATACAAATAAGGAGGCTGAGGAGCTAAGTGATTAAATGATAGAGACAAGGGTTGAAAGACTGGGATTATGTTTTAGGGCAGCAACATGAAGCTGTCCAGAAATAAGAAGATTTTCCATCAATCTTTTGCTGCTTTAATGGAATATCTTCATTTTAATTTCATGTAGCTTGCAATGGCAGGAACTTGAAAGCTCCCAAATGTTCAGCATTCTACAGTCACAAGAAGGCCTGGCCCCTGCAGAAGACAGAACTGGTTCTGCAGGCCGGACCCAAGAGCTCTCTCTGGGATCTATTTGGGCCCTCACACCAGCCCTGTGAGATGGGCAAAGTAGGCATCTTCGCTCCCATTCCACAGATAAGTAGAACCAAAGCCCAGGGAGGTACTGACCATGAGAAATTAACTAAAGGAAGTCATATGAGGTACAGGATCTACCATGCCTGATCTTAACCCCAAGCCTTTTCCCCCCATACCCCTCTCCACTCTTCCAGTGTCCACTGCCACTGCAGTACTAGCTTCTAGTCCAGCAGGTTCCCTTTCATTTCCCCTCAAGCCAGAGTGGGGACAGGAGCTAGGAGGGGAAGGAAGCAGTTGATCTGCATGGAACCCAGAACAGACACAGGGAAGTCAGGACACAGGATCTGAGGCAAGGGGACCTGGGGCACAGGAGAGCTGGGCACAAGGGGAGCCAGGGCACAGGGGAGCTGGGGCACAGGGGAACCGAAGCACAAGGGTGCTGGAGACCTCACCCCATCACTGGAGTTCAATAGGCAGCAAGGGAGTCCATTTCCCGGCAGAGCCCTTTCACTCACCATCTGCGTAGAGGAGGAGCTTCTGGGAAAGTGGTGCATTCGAGGAGTCGCTAGGTAATGCTGATAGTGCTGAGGGATGGGCCGCACCTGGAACTGAGCAGGACTCAAGCCAGCATCCACACTGAGATCCCTGCAGGGAGGCAAGCTCAGATTTAGCCATCAGGTTGCAGAAGGGACCTCAGACATCAAGCCCACATAGCAGAATGAGAATCACACACTGCTAGAGCGGTGAGGGACTTTACATCCCCTAGCCCTTGCCTTTGCTTTAAAGGGAAGGAAGCTGAGATCCAGAGAAGGAAAGGGCTCTGCAAAGTCTGAAGGAGCTAGAGCAGTCCAGGCCCCACGAAACTTCTTGCAACCAGGGGAACAAAGCTCCCTTCCAAGACAAAGCCCATCCCTAAGAGAAATGCTGAAAGACAAATCTAAATAGAGCAGGTTGGGAACACAGAGCAAAGGAAAGACAAGACCCAGATAAAAGTGGAGGAGGGAGCAGAAGGCATATTTTTACCTCTTTAAGAAAATAAGAAAAAAAGGGCCCTCCATAGCTAGATCTATGAGTTAGAAAGCTTATCCTGGCCCAACTCCTCTCACTCCTAAAAATATAGGGAAACTCACTCATTGATTAAGTACACTGAAGAGGAGCCAATGGCTAATTTGGAAAATGGGTAATTTCAGGTCTAGAAAGAAAATGTGCAAGATGAGATTGAAACATCTTGTCATATCTGAAAGAAAGACAGCTGTCAAAAAACTACTAGAGGCTGGACATGGTGGTACATGCCTGTAATCCCAGCACTTGGGAGGTTGAGCAGGAGAATCACTTGAGGCCAGGAGTTTGAGACCAGCCTGGCAACATAGCGAGACCCCCATCTCTACAAACAAACAAATAATAAACACTACTAGGTGTTAAGCCTGCTCAGTGTGGGAATCTGGAAAGTATGTATGGGATGTGTTAGATAAGTGAACAAATAAATGTAGCTATATTCCAATAAAATTTTATTGACAAGAACAGAGAGTAGGTCAGATTTTATCCAAAGGCCATAGTTTTTTAACCTATGATAGCAAAAATGATAACAATGTATTGGGGTGATTACAATATATGTAGAAGTAAAAATTACAAAAGGAATAGCAAAGGATGGGATGGGGTAATGAAAGTATGCTGTTGTATGAGTTTTACATTACATGCAAAGTGGTATAATTCTATTTTAGGGTAGAGTGTGATAAGCTCATTAGGCATCTTATAAACCTAGTGGATTCCACAATAAAATACAATAAGATATAATAAAACGGTATGACAAGTCAATATTTAATCCTAAAAATTACTCAATTGATCCAAAAGAAGGCATGAGACAGACAAAAAGTTTTTTTTTAAAAAGAACCAAGAAACAAGAAAATAGATGAAAGAAATCAAAAACAAAGAGAATGATGCTAGATTTGATTCCAACCATCTAGATAATTACATTAAATGTAAATAGTCCAACACTCTAATTAACAGGCAGAGATTGTCAATTGCAAAACAAAAGCCAACTATATGCTGTCTGTTAAAAAAACATATTAAACATAAAGATGTAGATACTACGTTAAAAGTAAAAAAAGGAAAGAAATATATACCCTGCAAGCACTAATAGGAAGAAAGCTAGAATGGCTACTAATATCAGGCAAATAGACTTTGAACCAAGGGATATTACTGAGGATAAAGAGAGAAATTTCATGATGATAAAGGGATGAATTCATCAAGAAATGGTAATTCTTATAATATCGTACTATATGTAAGTCAAAATAAGTGAAGGAAAAACTGACAAATCTGAAAGAAGACAAATTCACAATTACGTAATAGTTGTAGACTTCAACCCTCTTCCCTGTAATTCATAGAACAAGTAGACAAAAAATTCAGTAAGAATATAGAAGACCTGAACGTCATCAACCAACTTCATCTAACTGATATTTATAGAACACTTCATTAAACAAGAGCAGAATATACATTTTTAAAAATACATACAGAACATTTACTAAGGTGGAATATACGTTGGATCATAAAATAAGTCTTGATAAATCTAAAAGGATTAGAATTATAAAGAGTATGTTTTTTATAACATTGGTATTAAGTTAGAAATCAATAATAAAAAGATTTCTGAAAAATCCCAAGTTTTCAAAAATTAAACAATGCACTTCTAAATCACCCCGGATCAAAAAGAAATTGTAATGAAAATTAGAAATTTGCAGTCCTTAAAGAAAAATCCATTAGTTTATATACTTATATTATAAAAGAAGGCTCAAAGTCATGATCTAAATTTCCTCCTTAAAAAGCTGGAACTCAAAATAAGTAGAAGGGAAGAAATAATAAAAGCAAGATCAGAAATTAATAAAATTAAAAACAAACAGTGGAATCAAAGGCTGTTTTCTAAAGAATAATACAATTGGTTAAAACTCTAGCTAGATTGATCAAGAACAAAAGAGAGAAGATATAAGTTACTAATATCAGGAATGAAAGAGAAAACATTACTAGGATTCTACAGATGTTAAAAGATAATAAGGAAGTATTATCAACGTCCTTATCCAGATAAATCCAATGAAATGGGAAAATTCCTTTAAAGACATAAATTACCAAAACTGCTGGACTTGGTGGCACATGCCCATAATCCCAGTTACCTGGGAGCTGAAGTGGGAGGATCACTTGGGCCAGAAGTTCAAGAATAGCCTGGGCAATGTAGTGAGGCCTCATCTCAAAAAAATTAAAATTTAAAATAAATTACCAAAACTAATTCATCAGGTTATAGAAAATCTCAACAGTAGTATGTCTATTCTTCAAGAAACCTTCAGTCCCAGATGGCTTTACTAGTAAATTCTATGAAACATTAAAAAATAATAATAATACCAATACCACACAACCTTTTTCAGAAAACAGATGAGGAAAACATTTTCTAAACCATTTAATGAAGCAAGCATTGCACTGGCAAAAAAAAAAAAAAAATCAGACAAAGACATTTCAAGGAGAAAAACCTATAGATCAATATTACTCATGACCAAAGACGTAAAAATTCCTTAACAAAATTTTAGCATTTTGAATCCAGCAATGTATAGATTAAATGAGACTTATGTGACATATTGACCAATCACATGTGTAAATTTTATCTGAATCATGATTGGTACAAACTATAACAATCACAGAAATTTGAATACTGACTGCATATTTGATTATATTTTTAAATTATTGTTAATATTTTAGGTATAATAGTGGTATTGTAGTAAGAATTTGAAAAAGAGAGTCTTTATTTATTGAGATACATAGTGAAATATTTACAGATGAAACAATGTGATGTCTGGGTTTATTTCCAAGTACAGTAGGCCCCTCTTATCCCTGGAGGGGATGTTCCAAGACCCCCAGTGAATGCCTGAAATTGTGGATAATGCTGAATCTTGTATATACTATGATTTTTTCCTATACTGTACACACATACCTATAATAAAGTTTAATTTATAAATTAGGCACAGTAAGAGATTAGCAACAACAATAATAAAATAGAATAATTGTAACAATATACTATAAGTTATGTGAATATGGTCTCTCTCTCTCTCCACCCACCTCCCAGCTTCCCTTCCTCAAAACACTATAATATTTTTGGACCACAGTTAATCACAGGTAACCGAAAACATGGAAAACAAAGCCATGGATGATCGGGGACTGTTGTGACAGCAGGGATGAAAGAGTGAGTAGGGGTAAAAAAATGAAGCAAAATGGCCACGAGTCAATGTCGAAGCTGGATGTGAGTATATGTGGGTTCATTCTAATATTCTCTTATTTTTTTATTGTTTGACATTTTCTGTAACAAAAAGAATTTTTTAAGAAGCTTTTCTATTGTGCAAAAGTAATGGCCATTAACTCCAAGCTAGATCTCGGTGGGCACGCAACTTCAGCAATACGCAAGAACCAAAACTCATGCGTGGAAACTCTGGCACGTGTCACAGAAAGTGTGCGGCAGGCAGTCGTTTCTCGCAGTGTGCTGTGCAGGGTGGCGTGTGGAGTGGACCCTGGGCAGCAGGACATAGCTTCCTTTTAGGAAAGTGCACCCAGCCCCTGAAAGCACCCTGAGAGGAACGCCAGGGCCTCAGACGGTACAACCTCAGATCCTACAGGAGAAAGAGGGCGGGAGGCATTGGATGCTGAGACTTCCCTTCCTCATCATGCCGGGGCAGGCCCCGACCACCGTGCCTGCTGCCACCAAGCCTGCCTCCCACACAGCCTCACCCTGGACAATGTCCTCCAGATAGGCCCAAGGGTGAAAAGCCAAAGAAGGATCCCAGCCCTGGGGGTGTGGGCACTGGAGAACCGATAGGAACCCCACTGGCGTCCGGCCCTGTCCTCTCTCCACAGTCAGGGCCAGCTGCTGCGGGCAGGCAGGACTGGCGGTCGCTCTCGCGGGCTCCACACCCCACCGCCTGAGCAGCAGCAGCTGCCAGAAGGCCGAGGTCCTTCTCCCAGGTCCGCCCTTCTTAGCTGTGAGACCCTGTGCAGTCAGTTCACCTCCTCGAGCCTCATGTCTACAATGACGGTCACAGTAGCTCCTCACGGTGGGGTTGGGAGGATCAAAGGAGACCATGGAGGGGAAAGTGCTTTCCAGAGCACTCCACAGATGTGAGGGGCTGTTATCCGCCCGAATCCCCGAAATACCATATCATGATGACCCCACCACCTGCAAAATGAGCTAAACTCTTGGGGCCAGTTGGGAGCAAATTTAAAAATCCGCTAGGCCAAGCTCTCACATTCACGGTCCATCTGAGGCTTGAAGAAGGGCAGTGCCTTATCCACAGTTCTGGGATGGCCAGTCAGGGTCTCAGACCCTTGCCTGGGCTCATCCCACTGCACTGTCTCCCGCGGCAGGAGCTCTCGTTTTTAGCATATACCCGGCAGTCTCAGGGAGCCCAGCAAACTCAAAGCAGCAAAGACGTGTTCAAGGAATTCTACCAAAAGCTAAGTCCCAAGGAACTTGGAACAGTCACCCCGGTTCCAAGAATGCTAATGGGAAAGGCAAAAGGCACGATGTCCCTCAAGTTGGATGGTCTGCCCTGGGTGGGCCTGGGTGGACGCTGGGATCTCCCTCTTAGCATCTCATCAGAACATTCCCTCCTGGACCCAGACTACCTCAACAGGGCATGTGCTTCCTCAAATCCTAAAGAAGCCTGAATTGGGACTTGTCCCAAAGACACATCAGCCCCTAAACAAGCAGTGTCCCCCACCTCTCCACTGTTGTCACCAGCCTGAACCTCCTGATGTTCAGAACCTGCTAAGTTTTAAAAGGGGTCACAGAAATATCCCACAGACCTAAAGCCACAGGGTTAATGCAGAACTGGGCTTTGAAATTTTCTTTCTTTCCCTTCCTTCCTCCCTCCCTCCCTTCCGTTTTTGTGGGGGTTTTTTGGTTTTGTTTTTTTCTGAGATGTGGGTCTCATTAGGTTGCCCAGACTGGTCTCAAACTCTCAAACTTCTGGGCTCAATCGGTCCTCCTGGCTCCTGAGTAGCTGGGACTACAGGCATGTGCTGCCACGCCCAGCTCTTTTGGAGATTGCTTATGGTCATTTATCTCAATGTGTAATTTTTGTTCATTGTATCTAAACATCAAACTGAACTTTATTTTCCACCATCAGGTGTGGCCTTCTACCATGACCTTCTACCATATGGTTTTTCTATCATAATGTGGCCTGGTTGCTAAGCAGACCCCTAAGTTCTTCCCCGAATCTCGCCCCAAAAGTGCCAGCACCATCTTGTGGGTGACTCCAGACTCAGGGAGCTTTGGAGGCTTTGCTGAGGCAAGGCTGCCTGAAGAGGAAGGGACAGTCGAGGGTCTCATCCTTCACTCAGCCTCTGTCCATGGGTCCCAGGTACCGAGAGGCCTCGGCCTGGGCAGGGTCACAGCTGTGGCAGAGTGGGGTGCACTGCACAATGGGGGTCAGAGTTAGAGCTGAGAAGCCAGGACCGAGTCCAAGAATGGGCATGCTAAGGACAGAGGTCTTGGGCTGTGACTCCAGGTCAGGGTCAGGCTACTGGACATAGGCCAGAAAGGGGGGGATTGGGGATTTACACTCCCACACATGGGCCAGGATGCTCAGCTGAGAGAAGCTGCCTGGGTAAGGCTAAGACACCGAAAAGGAAGGGGGCGAGGCCAGGGTGGCCTCCAGCCTGGGGCTGGGTGAGGCCTGATGCCTGGGATGCCCTGGCGCAGAGGTCGGTGGTTTCTGGTGATTCACTAAAGCAAGAGGCTCCTTGCAGAAAGGGAGAGTGGCCCTTCCTATCGTGCATTGTTGTCATCCAATTTCCTGCTGCCCATCTCCTGGCAGAGGCAGCCTCTCTGGACACGAGGGCTGGGTTGCAGTTTGCATGATCACAATTGCAAAAGAAACCCTCATCACCACTCACCACTGATGGACAGCACTAATTATAAAGGAGGAGAAAGGACTTCCTGCTTGGGAAGTGGGAACAGAACAGGCGGAAAGAGCCCAGGGGCAGACCAGGGGGGACTCCAGGCAGGGGCCTCCCAGCGTCTCCTGCTGGGGCAGGGACCAGCCTCCCAGGGCCTCCTGCTTTACGTCTCCTGGGGTGAGCAGGGCCCAGGAACACAGAGTGTTCGCAACCTGGTGAGGAGGTTGGGCTGAGTAAAGGAAACTGAGGACAGGGCCGACACCGGCACTGCTCCCCATGATGTGTCCTCAGAACCACTCCCACCTGTGCCACCTGTCGGTCCCACTTGCCCTTGGGACCCTGAGTGTGTATCTGAATCACTGAGCTGTGTGTAAGGGCCCTGGGTGCTCCATGGGCTGAATTCAATTAAATTGAATTGACTTGACTGCTGAGGGATGGAATTTAATCCAAACTGCAATTAAATCATCCTCATTTGAATCTGCTAATTAGAAAAAGGCTGGGCTGATGTTGGCTGTAGTGTAATCTATCTTTTAATGGATTGTTCAGTGTAACAGAGAGTGTAGCTGAGAAGGAGCAGAGGGCCAGAGACGATGGAACATGCTAAACCCACTCTTCCCTGCACCTGCAAGCACCCTTAGCGTTCACGCAACCTGAACTACCCTTTCGAATCATTCCTAGGCGCCCACAGATAGGGTTCCCAAAGCAACTTGTCTACACCAGTGCCTGGCCAAATGGCTGAAAATGACACATCAATTTTTTAAAAATAGTGCAACCTTTTCCATCGAGGGCTTTTTTTAAAAAATTCTTTTAAAAAGCATTTTTGACCTAAAAGTTACAAGAACAACACAAAGAATTCCTGGATACCCTTTACCCAGATTCCCCAAATGTCCCCATTTTACTATTTTACTGCATTTCTATTTCCTTCTCTCTCTGTCTCTCTCCCCTCTAATACATACATACATACACACACACACACGCACACACACACACACACACATATATATTCATAGACACACACACCTCTGTGGAGGTAGGTTTTTTTTTTCTCTGAACTATTTAAAAATAAGCTGTAGGCATGAGACTTTTTTTCTCTAAATCCTCAGTGAGCTGCACATCTTTTTAAAGTACTTGAGAATTCTGACCCAACCCTGGTTAAGATCAGCTCTCTCCTAAGCTAGAACCAGAGAGTTAGGTGGGACCCAGAATCCCAAACCAAGCAACCTGCATCCCAGGATACCAAAGACCTCTGTCCTAAGTGCAAGAGATTGTGGGAAGACCTCCCGGGGGCCCACTGCCTACAAAGACACAAAACAACATCCTTAACCTCTCTCCCAGCTTCTCTCCCAAGTGCTTACCCCAACTCTGGCTGCCTTTGCCTCCGTTTTTCGGGCATAATGTGAGCCTGTGCTTACTGACCAACCCGCCCTGCACTGCCTTGCTGGCGTGCCCTGGCACTTCTCTTTGGATCCCTAGAGACCCACCCCCTCCAGGAAGCCTTCCCTGACCACCCTAGCTCCTCGAAATTCTCCTTTCTGCTCTCTCCCTAGGGACTACTGGTTCATAGCCTTCATTGAGCTCAGGGAATGTTTTATGTCCCTGTCTCCCTTCTCCCCTGCAAGACCATGAACCCTGAGCCCCAGGCTGGGCACATGATAGCACCCAGCTACATCTGAGCCAATTGCTGGAACCAGGCCCAGGTGGGGCCATCTGGCCCTGGGGGTTGCTGGGAGCAGAGGCAAAGGCTGATTCTGAGAATGAGGCCTCTTGCACCATTCAAAGTGCAGGAAAACAGGAGCTCTGTGGACCTGGCAAGACCTCCCTCCCTCCCAACTACCCCCAGGGACCCCAAAGACTCACCAGTCAGTGCCCTCAGCCAAATACCTGGGCTGAGGTGTCTGCAGTTGGTGGCCGAAGTCGAAGCTGGGGTGGAGGCGATGGGGGTGGACAGACACACGCTCCTGACTCCGCCTGCACCAGGGGGGAAGAAGGGCCATGGCGTCAGGGGCTGCCCAGGCCACCCAGCTCCCAGGAACTCTGAGCAACCCCAGCCAGCGTGAGGGCGCCCCTCTTCTCAAACACCAAGGAAGCCGCTCAGATGAGCAGCAGTCAGTAACTCAGACATTCCGACTGCCTTCGGGCTGCCCCCTCTTGTCAAGTCTCTCCCTACGCGTGTCCCCTGCAGGTTCCCTGGCCCTACCAAACTCTCTGCCTCCTCTGCTCTCCTACTGCTCCCTCTCTGTCCTTGGTGGGCCATCTTCAAGACACACAGACTCACCTCCGGCAGGCTCTCCCACCTCCGTGCACCCCTCTGCTCCCACCATGCTCTTCTCCTCTCTTTGATCCTTGGCACACTCTTCCCAGCTTTCATGTTCCAAGTCAAAACCCACCTCTTCCAGGAAGGCCTCCCAAAATACCCTAGATCATGGTGACCTCTCTTTAGGCAACCCAACTCTACAATCACTGATGCTCAGGGCCTTAGAGATCATCTAGCCCAGTGGTTCCCAAGGAGAGCTCCAAGCATCCTTGGGAGTCTCTGAAACCCTTTCAGGTACTTTGAGAGGTCGAAACTATTTTCCTAATGATACTATGTTATATGCCTTTTCACTCTCATTCTCTCACAAGTGAACAGTGGGGTTTTGCAGAAACAATGTGATGTGTGATTCTACAAGATAGAATGCAGAAGCAGATACTAGAGTACAGCTGTCTTCTATTAAACCATGCATTCGATGTTTGCAAATAGGTAAAAAAAAAATTTACTCTTGTCAGTAAATTTGTATATAGTAGTTATTTTTCATAAAAATGTATTGTTGGTATTAACATAGAATGAGTTTGTTGTGGTTATTTTTTAATGAATTAATATTTTAAAATGTTTTCAGCTTTCATTTCCAATGTGGTAACCAGCAGTGGTCACAACATACACAAATAGAAGCTCTCTATATAGTCTTCTTTAATTTTTAAGAGTTCAAAAGGGGTCCTGAGATCAAAAAGTCTGAGAACCACTGATCTAGTCCAACTCTTTTTCTTGACACTTGAGGCTCAGAGAGGCGCAGTGACTGGCCCAGGGTCCCACAGCTATTCCAGACCATTTGATGAGTGTTGTCTAATTTTACTCTCCATTTGTTTCATGAGTGTACATCTGGACCTTCCAACTCCAGTACTTAGACCACGGTGTGGGCTCTTCGAGGGCAGGGCTGGAACTAGCTATTTCCTTTGGATGCTTAGGTGTCAGAAACAGGCAGCCATAAAACTAGAAGGGATATAAGGGATTCCTTAGTCAAATTTCCTGCCACACGGAGCAGAAGTCCATTGTGAGCGTCATGAACCACTCTGACCCTGCACCTGGGTGAAGCGACAGGGACACACACTAGCTTCTGAGGGAGCCCGAGTCGGTTCAGGGCAGCACTCACTGCCTGAAATGAACGCCTGGAACGGAGGCAAGAGCTACCTCCTGCAGAGACCCACTTGGGGACTTGCCTGGCGGGATACAAGCCAGGTGTCCCAGCCCGCGGCCCCGCCCCGTCCCTGCCCCGGCCCCGCCCCCGGCCCCGCCCCTTCTCTGGCCCCGCCCCTGCCATGGCCCCGCCCCGCTACGGCCCCACCCTCTTCCTTGCCCCTCCCCCGTCCCAGGCGGCGCCCACCTGGGGTGCGAGACGAGCCGGCGGTGCTGGGCTTCCAGGAGCTGCTGCTGCAGGAGGTATTGCTGGTGCAGGGCCTGAGGTAGGAAGGAGGGACCTGTGACGTCCTGGAACTGCAGGGTGGGCAGCGGGGTCAGCGACTGGTGCAGGGCGCCGCTGTGCTGGTGGGCCGGGGCCATGTGGGCGCTGAGGCCCGGCTGCGACTGCACGGGGTGGGCCAGCGGGAAGTCGGGGGCGAGCTGCTGCGGCTGCGGGGGACCCAGGTGGAAGTGGCGGCAGGAGGTAGCGTGAGGATGCTGAGACCTTTGAAAGGGGGCACCTGGGGAGGCAAGGACAGAGACATCTCCATGAGGACCAGCACGGCCCGCTCCCACGCTGGCCTGTCCCCACCGCGGCGGCCTGGAGCTGGTGAGACTCAAGACCTTCGTTAGAACACAGCGATTCCATCACTTTTAGGCACACGTGGTCATCTTGAATGCCGCCAAGTAAAGGCTCTGTGTGTGTACGCACCGGAGGGGGGAAGGGTATTTTCTTTCATGAATACATAGCATCCTTTTTATAATTAATACACTTCTTTAGAAGTTTTGAGGTCCGTAAAGGCAGTAAGGCAGTCTGGCAATCTTACTGACTCTACCCCCTGTTTTTTTAAGAGAGGGTATCTTCCTGCATTCCGCAGGCGGAAGCCCAGTGGCACAATCATAGCTCACTGTAACCAGGAACTCCTGGGCTCCAGCCATCCTCTTCGCTTAGCCTCTCAAGTAACTGGGACTACAGACACGCACTACCACATCTGGCTAATTTTTTTAAAAAGTTTTTTTTTTTTTTTTTTGAAGAGATTGTGGTTTTGGTAGGTTGCCCAGGCTGGTCTTGAACTCCTGGTTTCACCTTGGCCTCCAAAAGTACTGGGATTACAGGTGTGAGCCACCTCTCCCCACTCCTCTGTGAGTCTACCTTTTCAAATAGATGCTACATAGAGAAAATTTAGTTCAGCCTTGCCATGCCCTAAACTGTCACTGAAGCCTTGGCTAGCTAGGACCCAACCTTTGTGGAGCCCTAGTTTCCAGAGAAAAACTAGCAAAAGAAACAAATCACACAAAATTTTTTACTTAAACAGTAACTAAATAATTTATTATAACGTTATAATCTATTTAAAAGCAAACATGTCCAGGTACAAGCTGGGCTCAGGCTACATTTAATTTAGGCTCCAGTACTTTTCAAATGAAATTGAGCCTGATGACCGAAAAAAAAAAAAAAAGCCTTACAAAATTCTCCAAGAGCAAAAAGTCTAGCGCTAAGCACTGGAGGGAGTCCTTTAATGAGGCGAGGAAGTAGACCCAGCATTTCAGCGAGATTTGCAGAGAATTTCCTGCTAAGCATGGCAGACTCGCCACATGTCTGCTCCTTCTCAGGCCCCACTGAAATGCAAGCAAAGGAATAAAGAGAAGATAAACAGACAAGGACAGAGAGAACAAGAGAGGTGACATCAGCAGGCAACAGATGTCAACAGATTTTTGGAAGACAGTAAGCAGATGGAGGAATTAGCAGAGACGAGAAATCGGAAACCAAGAGCTGACCAGAGGGGCCATCAACAGGAAGTGGACAGATCTTGCCACATGGTGCTGGAAGGCATTGGCTACTCCGGAAAGCAGGAGCGAGGGCAGAGCTGAGAACAGGGCGACTGTTCACAAGTCTTGCAGGGAGCAGTTACACCCAGGATTCCTCCACCTTCCCAAGCAGGGCAGTGACCACCCCTCCCAGAGAGGCTCCGATGGGGGGAGGGTGACATCAGGCAGAGGGAGGCAGGGATGTAGCACCATGCTTACACTCGGGATCACATGAACATCTATATATGGAAATTTGGAACCCCCATCCCCTTCTGCCACTTGGTTCCAAAAACACTGTCACCCACGTGTGTGCCCCTTCCCTGTACCCTCCACAGGCCCAGGCTGAAACTGAGGGATGCTTCTCTAAAGAAAGTCATTGGTCTCAGAAAGAGTTCTACAGATGCTTCCGGTTGAGAGCACCCCAATGAAATGGTTGGGTTCCCAAGTGGCCACTACATAATGAAGCCCATGAGTTGACAAGCCCATTCTCATACATGGGCACACAGAGCTTCTGGATGGTTTTAGTGACCTGCATTGCAACGTGAACAGACAGCCCAGGGGTGTCTAGGTTCTCAATTACAAAGTGAAAGGGGAGCAAGAACATACCAAATATTTAAAAATAAATTCAAATGAACACAGATAATACAAGGACCAGAAAAAAAATTAACTTCAAAACACTACAATTAATATTCTCAGAGAAATAAGACATTGGATCCATAAAACAAAAGGAAGCTCTTTAAAAAAAGGAACCATGAGGGAACAAGAAAGAGAGCTCTTGGAAATTGAAAATGTATGAGGTGAAATCTGAAATTCAACAGGGGGGTTGGAAGATAAAGATGGGGACATTTCCCAGGAAACAGAACGAGAAGACAAAGAAAAGAGAAATAGGAGAAAAAAGATGCAAACATTGAAGGATCCAGTCAGAGATTCCACATTTCCCCAGTAAGAGGGAAAGAGTGGAGGCAACAGTGGGGAGGAAATTAGGGGGAAAAAAGTATAAAACCTATTTCCCAGAACAGATGGTCTGCATTTCTAAACAGAAAACTTCCCCTGAGTGCCCAGCAAAATAGATGGGGGGAAGAACCCCCTACCAAGGCATCTCCCTGTGAAACATCCAAATGACAGGGCAAAGAGAGGGTTCAAACACTTTCTAGAGAAAAAGCAAACCAGTCCCATGCAAAGGGTCAGAAATCAGAATCACTTGCGAGTTTTCAAGAATGACACTGGAAGCTCGAAAACAGTAGAGCAACTGCCTTCAAGGTACTGAGAGGGGAAAATGATTTTCCATCTGGAATTCTCTGCCCAGCCAAAGCATTAATCAAGTCTGAGAATAGAATAAAGCCATTTTCAAACATACAGGATCTGAAAAAAAAAAAAATTAACCTTTTTGATACTTCTTCTCAAGGAGGTACTGACACAAACCAAGGAAGAGGAACACGACATAGGAGCCCAAAGAGGTGGAAGTGTCCCAAGCACACGGCTGTGCAGGCTTCTACAGCCATCCCACAGGAGAACAGGCAGCTGACGGCTTAGAGGGGATGGGGGCAGGGGGAGCTGGAAATGACAGGATTACCGACAAAATTGGCCACATGAAAATAGTATTTGAAGGAATTTTACAGTTTGATAGAGAATTGGGTAAGAATTTGTAAAATTGCGTTAGAAAGCAAAGCAACCAAAAAAAAAAAAATGCAATTATTACCACTAGGAAAAGTTGTGCAAGAAAGTGTACTTATCTGTATTGTGCACTACTTGGCCCAGCAGCAACAATTTATTAACGATAAAACAAATAATTAATAAACTATGTTAGAACAGAAAAGAATGTTTCTTTCTCAATATGGAGAACATAGACAATGTCAGAAATTGAAATATTAACAAATGGCAGTCTCATTGTTTATCTAGAAGTTTGCTTAGTAATTTCTGTCTTTCAGGAAGGAAAGGACTGAAGAAGAGTTGAAATCCCTATGGTCGAGGGAGTTCGACTCTGGCAGGGAGGAAAGGGACAGACAAAGTCTACTTTGCTAAATGTGTCTTATGGTGGTCTGTTCAACTTTGTCAATGATGTGCATGTCCTTGGTAGACCTTTTAAAAAATCTTTTAAAAATAAATGTTTGCAAAAAGACATGAAAACCCAAAGAATGTCTGCCTGACTCCACGTGAGCCAGAAAAGAATGATCTAGAACCTGAATTCCCACAAGCATTCTGGATAAGTCAGGCCTCTCTGCCTTATGAACCCTGGCTTTGATGAGTCCAGGGGCTGCGGCAGGAGCAGGCAGGCGCCAGACCCCCTCGCCTCGCCACCCCCTCTATCATCACAGGTGACAGTGGAAGGAGAAGGAGGGGCCAACGCGACAGACAGAACGAGGGCAGGAAGAGGGAAGATAAAGTATAGAACGACAAAGAAAAGACAGAAATGACTGCAAACGAAGGGAATGGTCGATGGAAAGATATTGTCGAGACTCTAACCCAGCTCTGTCCAGTAGAATTATGATGTGGACCACATAGGGACTTCTAAAGTTTCTAGGAGTCACCTTTAAAAAAGTAAAAAGAAACATATGAAATTACTTTTAGTAATATATGTTAATATAGCTCAATATGTCCACAGTGTTATGTCAACATATGCTCAATGTAAACAATTATTGAGATATTTTACATTTTTTTCATACTATGTCTTCAAAACCTGGTGCATAGCTTGTGCCTACAACACATCACAGTTCGCACAGGCCACGTTCCAAGAGCCCAGCGGCCACTGGAGGTGAGCAGCTTCCTTGTCGGACATCGCAACACTAAAGAAAAGATGCCAACTCCAGACCCGGAGCACAGCATTTGAGCCACTTTTCCCAGTTGATCGGCCTTTCCCCCTGGCCATCCAGTTTGGTCTACGCAAAATTCCAGATTCCCTGGGCACATTCCCACTGGGGGCCTGCACCCCATCTCCCCAGCTATCTTTCCCATCATTAAAGGTCTGCTTCGCCTATTAGCCCCTCCAAAAATGCCTCCCCTACCCACCAGCCCCCAGGCCGCCTTCCTCCTCTGAGCGCTGAGAACACCGTCTCTCCCACTCGCTTGGCACCTGGCGGTGGCTACCTTGAGCTGTCTCTTCACACTGGCCGCCCCCACCAGGCTGGGCTTCGTGTCTTTACTGTTTCTGGATCCCCACGCACCTCGCTGGGAGCTGGCATTCAGTAAATATCTGGGCGCTGGCTGATTGTTGCAGGGAGTGAGGGACAAACAGTGGCTCAGAGGGACTGAGGACTGAGTGGGTTGAAGGCAGACTGGTTTGAAATTGAGTGGGAAAGAGTGGCAGGCAAGGCCTGGTGGGCTCTGGGTTTTGATGCTGTGGCACGGCCTCCCTTCCACCGGTGTCCCCTGCCGTGAGAGCGCCCACTCTGTGCAGGGAGCCTCCGGGCTTCCATGGGGGCCGCTAGGAGAAGGGCCGGCCACCCCAGCCTGGAGTGCTTTCTGCCCTCCTGCGACCTTGCCCTCCAGTCCCTACACTGGGGCGTGAGAGCAGATGCCCTCTGTCCAGGATGGGCAGCAAGAGGAAGGTCCTGTCCCATAATATTTCGGGCAGTTTCTACCTACAGAAGTCTCTTGACTTCCCTCTGGGACTCTGTGTTCCTCCCCCTGCCATCTCCACCCCTAGAGTGGTTCTCGGTCTCAACGCCCTGCTCAGAAGCCACCCACTCTGGGCTCCTGGACCAGGTCTGTGAAAGTA